ATTTATTTTATTTTCAATAAAATATCAAATAAAATCTTTACTTTTAATTAATTACTTTTAATTAAATTACTTTTAATTCTTACCATATTTTATTATATGGTAAAAATTTATATATTTTATTATATTTATCTATATAGTATTTATTAATTTTATTAATGTGATATCTATTTGTATCTATAATAAAATCTGTATACATATAATTTGTAAATTGCAAATATTTATGATATTTATAAATAGATAAATTTTTATAAAAAGAAAATGGGAAGAAAGAAGATAAGATTTTGACAGAAATTTATTTTAATGGCTAACGCTTCTAAATATAAGATTTTATTTTACTTTATATTTGCAAATTTTGCATATTTTATAGCAAGCTTTTTTAATGTAAATTCAAAAATATATTGCATATATCATTTGCTCTATTCTGCATCATTACAAAATTATATCTAAAAAATAATAATAATAATAATAATAAAACTTAAAGAATTGATTTCACTTTTCAAAATGATATTTTATTAATAAAAAAAATTGTTCTATACGTAACTCATTATAGTTTACATATTCATAATATTTTTTATGTTTATCATTAATTTTAGTAACATAAAGAATAATGATAATTTCTGACTGTAGTTCAATCAGATTAAATAATATTTTAATTTAGTGAAATACTCAAAATAAAAAAAAAAATGCACATTTATTCAAGATTAATTGATGGAATAGAAAATAATAATTTTGTAAAATTATATTTTATAAATTTATTTTTTATATTTTAATATTTATATTTTATAAAGTATGAAAAAAGATTTGTTATAATGGAAAATTATAGTTAATATTTAAATACAATCACAGACACAAAATTACGAAACAATCTGAAATTTTAAAAGAACATATTATAAAAATGAATTTTACATTGTATAAAGCAATAATCGTTATAAGTAATATAAGTTGGCGAAATCTTTCTTATAGCAAAGTTTTCTTATAAAATATATATATTAAAATTAATAAATAATTAATAAATTAATTATTTTCAAGAATTATTTAAATGATTATTATAAATTTATAATGCACAAAATTATAAATGATATTTTTGAAAATTATATATGATTTTCAATAAAAATAAAATGACATATCTATTTATTGAGAAAATTTGCGAGAATAAAATAAATATCTTATTTACTTTCGAATAAACAATTCAAGAAAAAACAAATTATGCAACAATTGCTCTCAACGACTATCAATTTAGCTATATGAATGGTATAGCTAATACCATAATAATAATAGTACATAGTATATATATAGTTTTTGAAAAAAAGATTATTGTTATTAGCAATTGTTAATATCTTGAAAAGAAATATAAATATGTTTCTTTTTTCCGTTAATAAATCATTTGAAATCATCAAAAAAATATTTGTAAAAACATTTTTTTCACATTGGTTGTTAAATCGAAGGAAATTATCAAATATCCCACTACTACTTATAACGAAATGAGAGATGTGACTTGAAGTTGCGATATTGTACGTTATATATTTAGATAAAAGGAATAATTTCAGCTACAATTATTATTATTAATATTTCACTATATATTTAATAAATTTAATAGATTTAATAAATTTAATAGATATTTAAACAAAAAAATTATATCTACAAATGTAAATCTTTATAGATTTGTAGTATTAGAATATATAAAGAATAGCAAAAAATAATCATAAATTTTGAGAAAAAGAAAATAATTGATTTCTATACATATCTAAAATATTCAGATGAGATGATTTTTGCTTTAAAGTATAATGAATAAGATAAATAAAAAAAATACAAAATACAATTTATAAACCTACTAAAAAATATTTCTTTGTTTTTTGTATAAAACATTTTCTTTATTATATAATCACAAATTCTGAATATGTTTCACGAAACAAACATGTTTCACAAATCAAACATCAAATCCAATCAATTTATTTTGGTATATTATTTTCCATGAGTTTAATATTCATTGTATTTAAAAATTTAAAAAATTTTCATGGAAAGATATCTTAACATATTTTAGAAGCATAAAAATCCAAAATCTAACAAAATCAAATATATATACATATATACATAATATATAAATTATATAAAATTATATATATATTATAATAATATACATATATATATTGCTTATATTAGAATTTTTACTATAAATTATATAAAATGAATTTTTTGTATTGCGTTTCATTTACGTATGAAAATAATGTTAAATTTGATGTTATCAATATTATATAAATATAAT